TAACAGCCACATTTAAGCTAAGAGGAAGATATTTTCAAAAGCCACGGTCTAATTTAAGCTCTGCCAGGTAATCTAGAATAAACAGGTCCCACCCCAACTCAAAACCCCGGGCTGGGGCTGGCCTGCCTGCACAGAGCGCAGCAGCTCCCAGCACTGCCCTAGTCCGGGTTTCCCAGGTCTTCTCAGGTACATTACCCAACAGTGCCTCCAAGGGGGGCCCCTCTTCTCGCTCTTCCGAAGCAGCACTGCCCCCAGGAGGGGCAGCATTTTACCTGCCAGCCACCTTGGCCAGAGTGCCCAGAGCATGGCTGGGCAGCCCAGGCCCCAGCATGCAGCCCTGTCTGTGCTCCTCTGACTACACAAACTGCTGGCTCAGGTGTGACAGGTAGAGCTGAGCAGAAAGGGTGGAGCCGCCTGCTCTGCAGAGGAAGGTCTTGGGCTGGATGCCCTGCTGGAGGTGGGGTTTGACATGCTCCAGGAAGTGACTGGAGCCTAATTTTCCCAGGCAGGAGGCAGCTCAGTCCCTCTCCAAAAGGCTCTCGGAGTCTGGTCAGCACTTCTGTTCACGAACTCCCTGGTTATCACTGGGCTGTTTGTGAAAAATAGACATCGGAGCCATTTCCAGCAAGAACTCTAGGTGAGGCTGGCCCAGCTGGCCCAGAGATCAGCTGGCATGTGCAAATCAGGGACTAGTCTCCTCCAGCTGTGGAAAAGGCCCCAAACTAGCTACCATTCAAGTCCCACCTTCCCCGCGGATCTTGAGCAGAAGTCTAGAAATCTCTGATTCAGTGTTTCATCAGGGCTCAAAGATGTTTCTAATCTCTCCTGACCACCCTCATTAATTCTCCAAACATCAAGAGCCTGGTGGGTACCAGATCTGTGCTAGGCCCAGGAATGCAAAGGTGAGGCAGGCCCATGCACATCCTGGAGAAATTTAGTCTCGTGACTCCCTGTGGCTTCTGCCCAGGCCCGCTTCCTGGGTCAGTGAACGGGGTCCAGGTACACACCGGCATAGGGGTAGGGAGTATAAGGCAAAAAAACAAGTCTACCTGTCCTTCAGCGACTAGATACAGGCTTCATCGTGATCTTTGGCCATAGGAAGCCTTAGGCTGCAGATGGATATGATGTCGGCTCTTCTGTGCACCACAACCATCAGGTGGCCAAGACAGGCACAGTCTCTGGGAAGAGTGAGGATCTCTGGGGCCATGAACTGTGGGAGGTGAGAAAATTTCTATCCCTCAACTAAAATTCAGTCACCTCCACTCTTCCCAAGGCTGAGTAGCAGGATGAAATATGCAACATCCAAAAAAAGATATGATTCAACTCCAAAATGAACCAAATGAGCAAGGTCAGACCAGAAACTCCACATGAAAAGGGATGTGTGACGGCCAGTGACCAGGCCACAAAGAAGGGCCTGTGTGCTTAATTTGGATTGTGAAGCCAAGACCTGGCCAGGGTCTAAGAAATGAGAATCCAGCACCCTTGGTGATCCTTGTGAATGTGTGCAGGGGACCCATAGATCCATACGAGAGAGGGCAGAGCCAGCTTAGGATGGAAACAGGCTGGGGCCCTGGCTCCCAACTGATGTGCTTTCTGGGCTGTCCCACCCTCTTCTGGAAGTCATCGGCCCAACTACACAATAAAGTCATTGTCCCTAGTGCCAGATGTGACGGAAACAAGGACTACATTTTCTCTTTGGACCTGGCCAAAAGGAACCAACACTTCTCCACTTCCCAAACACCCCTGCATCCCACCATCCCAATTCCTTCCAGTCATCATGGTCTGTAGGAAAAGGCCCTAGGCCCTACTACATGAGGGGGGAAAACACTTGGATCTCCTGGAGCTCCAGTGTGTCCGGTAGAATTCTGTAATGACGACAATGTTCTGTATCTGTGCTGCCAACTCATCAGCCATGACCACACTGGCTGTACCAGGTGGCATGGGGTGTTTGTAATGCAAGCGTTATATTCATTTTTTCTTAGTCACTAATTGGCTTATTCTTCTAGGTTCTTTGTTAAATTACTATCTTTTCATTATTATTTTCATCAAACTCCACAGGAGGGGGAAATAAGAGACCCAGACAGGCTTGGTTTCTTGCTTTATTAGGTTTGTTATGAGGAGCAGTGATGAGACCTTTATCAGTCCTCGCTACAAAACTTTCATCTCCAGCCTTCTCCAGAACTCTGTGGAGGGCAGACAGTTGAGGGAAGGAAGAATGAAGTTTGGGAGTATGGGGTTGTGTATGTATACCAGGAAAGAAAACACACATTCTTTATTCTATTGCTTCAAACACAGTTCGTGAGAATGGAAGATACAAGCACAGCTGGCCAGGAAGGCAGGGCTCATGTGGCAGGGCAAGTTCCTGCTCTCCAGAGAGGTGGCCCAATGCTTCCTTGCCGCTCCTGGAGGAAGCAGAGTCCGAGCTGGCCTGGACGAGGCCCCAGGCAGCACTGCTTCTGTGTGGGTATGGCCAGTGGGGACGTGGCACCACACACTGCTGGCAGGACCACTGTCCCTGTGTGTCCTCAGCCTGCAGTGCCTGAAACTCCAGCCCCCACACATCCGTCAGGATCCCCGACACTGCTTCCCAGGTTTGGCGGTGAGTTATTTTTAAACCAGCGTGCTGCTGTTCCTGCCCCCACATCCTCTGCCATGCCTGTAGCCTCTCAAGAACACTTGGCATCACACCATTGTCAGTTCTCGCTCCACTCATCCCCTGCGTGTTGCTGGGACCCACCTTCCTGCACTATCCCAGCACAATCCTCCTACCACACTGCTGCCAAACAAAGCTGGGGAACGACGGCCAGGACAGGCTGTGAGGTAAGTGAACGGAAACTGGCTGGAAAAAGAGAAAAGGCCCAGAGCACAAAGTCCACTCACAAAGACTAAGCCAGCCCGCCTGAGTGTCTGGTGAGCGAAGCTGGAGTAGGGACCACTGCGGGAACATGTGCCTAGGGATCACACATACCCCAGACAGGGCAGGACCATCCTCAGGAGCTGCCATCACACTCAGCTTGGCCTGAGGAGAGGGATGCAGGGCCTTTCCTAGGCAGAGAATGGCCAAAGAGGATCTATTTACAACATACTCGACAATCAACTCTCACTGTATTCCAAGGAACTGAGACTTCCCCTAGCTTCTCATCTTACCTTGCTTAAATATCATTATTCCCAGAGTCAGGGAAGTGGGAGAGAAAGCCTGCGTAGGGCAGTGAGGGGAGTGATACGTGGTGAGAAAGAAAAGGAGACTGAAAACTAACAGGGCATGGCTACCCTGGGGACATAATGCGCTACACACACCGCGAGCCGTCGGGTCCATGCGGCCAGAAGCTTCAGCACTGTTCTCTCATGGAATTCTCCGGTGAGCCACGCTAAGGGGTCCTTGTGAAATCGTGCACTTATCTCAATAGAAAAGCCCTTGAAGAACAACGCCATGGTTACGAACATTTTTGACAAGCTTTGCAGGTGACTGGTATTCAAAGGCAAGATGGTGCGCCTCCTCCTGTCCAGGCAGACACCGAATTCTCTGGAATTGCCCACAGCATAAAGGTATAAGGTATAACTAATCTCTTTTCCCATTAAAAAGCTGGCAATGCCAGACCATGAGTCTAATGAATTCAGAGTTGTTCCAGGGCACAAGACAGCCAGTAGTGTCCAAATCGGGAGCCCTGTGGTGGTGGCAGACAGGATTCCTAAGGGCAGGCGCTCCTTCTCCTCTCTGGGAGAGCCAAGCTGTCCATCGGCTGGATCCCCAGGATGCTGGGCTCAAGTGTCAGCTGGGTTTACCTCTTTGGAACAGAAGTAGTGCACGACCACTCCATTAGGGTATCTTGCAAATGCACTGCAGTGAAGAAAACGGCTTAGGAGTGAGGACTGCCTCTAAGTGACCACTTCTCTGGCAGTGGCACCTCTTAAAGAAGAGGCACATTGCTGGAGGCCATCCCAGAAGCAGCCCACCCAGACCTCAAAGAACAGCCTGCCCTGAGTGGCTCTGGATTTCTGCAGCCATTGTCTCTGTCAAATAACCCAACAGAGGATGAGGTGCACACAGTAAAGTGCATGGGGTTTTTTATTATGCAAAACACACGGCATAATAAAGATAGGCAGTGCACCAGCCCAAAGCTCAGCAATGGCTCACTGAGAGCCGACAGTGTTCATCGGAACAGGTTTCAGGCTAATTCTAAAAAGGACAGCAAGTTGTCTTTCTAAAGAAAAAGATTTTTCCAGCTACAAAAGAAAAGGGACAAACCACTCTCCTTTGAAGAAAAGGGGACTAATGAGAGTGTATGTCTGAACACAGCATGATGCTGGCTCAGGATCCTACTCAAGTCACAATGCAGTAGCTTAAAAGATCTTTTTCTTCCTTCACCGGCTCTTCTTTAAAATATAAGAACTTTCTGCTGACTTACGACTCTTGGGCACCCACTATATCAGTTTCTGGCTTCCAGAGGGGAAGAGCTTTTTGGACAAGTATCCAACAGCTCCATACATAAAGACCATACATTGCAGGTCTTTACATTCTCAAAGCCCACCCCCAACAGATAGCACAGGCTGCTCTCTGATGGCTCAAGAACTAAAAGCTGTCAGGACAGCCAACAGCATGTTCTCCTCCCCGGTTAAAGGGCAGAAATCCAACCTGAGCATTGTCCACCCGCCGGGAACCCTCCACAGAGCCCAGATGCTGCACAGCTGTGGAGGAGCTCACCTGTTCCCAATCTTCTTCTTACACACCATGCACACCTTCTCCTCTGTGATGATGCACTTTACCTGCTGGTGTAAAATCCGCTCTTCCTGGACCTGGAAGAACAGGGGGACTGAGGAAGAAGTTCCATGGTGTGGCACCCAGAAAGAGGAGGCACAGGCCAGCACTGTTTCCTCTTTCAGTCTTCACAGATTCTTCTGCTTAGAACAGTGGCAATTCAATGTCAAGCTGGCTATGGGATCAACTTAAGCTGCACTGTACAGGCTCTGCCTTAGTCGGAAGGGAACATGTGGACACTGTCACGTACTAAAAATTAAAAGCCCACCCTAGAGTTTGGAAGCCCATACCCTCAGGAACTCTGCATGGAGAAGGTTCTTGAGCACTTGATTGAACCGTTTCTTTTGTGCATTTTCTTCCAAGACCTTTTCCAGGAAGATGCGTATGTCATTGATCTGAGTGTTTGCTGGCAGAAGGTTGAGGGCCTAGGGGCAGGAACAGAGATGGAGACTGCATGAGGTGGAAGAGGAGTGAGAATGAAGAAATGTCTGCAGCCATGGAGCTCTTGGACCCTAGTCCCTTTCCACATTTCCTCTTCTTATTTGGTACTCCCTGTAAACGCCCTCCACTTCCCTGGGAACAACTCCTGACCTTGGTGGTGTCCAGTTTGCTGTGGTGTAGCTCGAGGACCTGCAGGGCAGCCTGGAGGTTGGCTTTTGGCTCCAGCAGTTCCAGTTTGATTGGCCCCAGGCAGTGAATGCTGGGGGGCGACAGGTACATCCGAAGCAGGGACAGATATACCTGTCTCAGAGAGACATGAGCCACATTAGGCTGGCAGCAGCCCTCCCAGAACCCCCAGCCCTGAGCACCCCTAAAGATTCGAGAGGCTCGCCTATCACTGAGCATTTAAAACTTGTTATTTTCACCTTTTAAAATTGGTAAGGTCAAACAGGCAACTGAAGATGTTAATTAAGGACTGCTTTTTCCCTGAGAGAAAAAAAAACAAATGCCTTGTATTTGTTTACCATTATGCCATTTACAAAATGCTACCACTATAAAATAATTCAAAAAGATTCCTCATTCCCTTTGGCTTTAAAAGCTGAGATCCCGTCCACATTTTTGCAGGTGGGGATAACCTCTGGTGAGATGCTGCGTTTCCTACTGGCGCCAGTACCACAGGGTTTCTCAACCTCAATGCACATTCGGGGCTGGATGATTCTTGGTTTGGGGGCAGTCCTGTGCATTGTTTAGCAGCCTTTTTGTCCTCTACCCCCTGGATTCTGGCAGCACCCCTGCCCTCAGTCCCAACAATCAAAAATGTCTCTAGACATTGACAGGTCAATGTGTATTCGAGATAGAGTAAGTCATCAGAACCATGACAGGTTCCTGCTCAACAGGTGGACCTTATCATTTATTATACAAATCAAGACTCCTGAGAGTAGAGACAGGAGAGCCATTAATAATCACAGGGATAGGCCAGGCACGGTGGCTCACGCCTATAATCCCAGTGCTTTGGGAGGCCAAGGCGGGTAGATCACAAGGTTAAGAGATCGAGACCATCCTGGTCGACATGGTGAAATCCTGTTTCTACTAAAAATACAAAAATTAGCTGGGCATGGTGGCATGTGCCTGTAGTCCCAGCTACTCGGGAGGCTGAGACAGGAGAATTGCTTGAACCCAGAAGGCGGGGGTTGCAGTGAGCCGAGATCGTGCCATTGCACTCCAGCCTGGGTAACAAGAGTGAAACTCCATTTCAAAAAAAAAAAAAAAAAAAATCACAGGGATGACAACAGATGTGTGCTGGAACTACCCCAAGCACACCAGGATGAATGGTCCCCTGCTCTCCCTCAATACACACATGCAGGATCAATCAGTGCCCTGACCCATGCCCTATCTTATTCTGCCACTCATATTAGTGCCCCCTCTGGTCAAACGGATGGGGTGAGGTATGCACACACATTTCCTGGGTCAGGGCCACTACTCACATCTTTGTTGCCATCTTTGTTTTGGTCATAGTGTTTGTGGCAGTACCTGCAAGAAAGAAAGTGATGAGCAGGTAGTGAGGGGCACATCTAGATGAGAGGCTGTCTGTGCGTGCAGCCTGCTCGAGCAGCCTAACCACAGCCAAAACTGGGGGCTGGGACAGAGGAGATTCTTGCTTCTGCAGCAGAGGATGGGGAGATGGCCCTCTTAGCTCTCATCTCTCTGCAGGGCCTGCTTTTAGACTGGTTAGGAGGTGGGATGGCGGGGCAAACTTACTCCTCAGCCATCCTTGTATCCTTCAAGATGTGGACATAAATGAAAAGAGCTTGTTCATGTTTCCCCATGCGTCCCAACAGGAGAGCTCGTTCTTCTAAGAGGCCTAGGAGGAAAAGGAATATGAGGACCCACTGCCGCCATCACGCAAGCACAAGGTGAGGGCTATGCTGTCAGAGGAATGGACACAGGGCAATATAAAAGGGACGAAGACAGGATTCTTATTGCTTGGGTTTTTCTTCAAGGAGAAAATGAATGAAGTTTAAAAAAAGGGGAGGGAGCTATATTTTAGGCAGTACTTTATCCCATCTTTTTGGCAATCACATATAAACTGGGTAAGAATATTTATTCAGCAGCCAAGTACTTAACCACCTACGACATGCCAGGTAGTTCAGGTAAGATGAGCAAACGCTTGATCTCAGCTCTCACAGAGCTTATATATCGGACAAATTATGCCAGATTACAAAACCGCTGAATGACGAACTTGGCCAAGAACATGTTCTGAAGCAAAAAAAACAGGTTGCAACCTGGCTATCAATCAGCATGTGATTCATATCCAGGAAGGAGACTTTCCTTAGTCACGGTACAAAAGTGAGTCTTCAGAGGGGAAGAAACAGGAGCACTAGCCTGAAACACCTGGTTTTTCCAAGCCCAACTTTTACAGAGAGTTGAGGAACAATTAAAGGGGTGGATCAGTCTTTGTACAACCTTCAGCTAAAGTGGTTTCTGGCCCTAAGCCGGACACTCACCATCAAAGGGAAAATCACAGATGAGCCGGCCTGGATCATAGTAGCTGGAAATCTCCAAGAACATGAGGAGCTTTTGCCGGTATTCTCCCAGCTCACCCTCTTCCTCTCCAGCTGGGACTGGGGTTTTGCCTTTAAGGGAAACCAAGCTCAATATGAAAGGACGCTGCCAGGTGGCAATGTGGGGTCACCAAGAAAAATGAAGGGAATGGGGTTCAAGGATGTCACCACATGACCAGAAAGGGCCTCCGGGGTGGCCTCCATTCTAACTTCTTTTCATTCATGGTCTCTATGTGGCCCTAGAACATCAGCTTAAAGTTAAAAAATAAGCTGAATAGAGATATACTCTGTGGGCAAACCTGTTTATCAGTGCAACTGTCACCTTGCACATAGATCTGTTCCTTCCACCCTCCCCCAGGGATGACTCTGAGACACTCAGAGATGCCAGGACCCAGACGAGAGCTCCTGAGTCTCATGTGCAAGGCCTGTGTCACTTAGCTCCCCTGGCTCCTCTTCATAACTTCTGCCCTCCTGGGCAGAGAACAGGGTGGCCTGCTTACTGCCACTGCATGTGGCACCTGGGTCTGTGCTCTCCTATAAAGCCTGGGGCCGCTGGCTTCCTAAGAGAACTGGTACCTGCAGGGAAGGACAGGAGATACTCCTTCATCAGACCTTGCACCTTGTCACAGTACAGCTGGATCAGGCAGTTGTGGAACCGAGAGCCTGTCTCCTCCCAAACGTGGATGATGTGTTCCTGAGGCAAGATGTAGGTCTTTGTCACTGGCATTCTCCAGGCCGTGACCTGGTCTCCCAGCCTCCCTCACATTTTTAAGGCCCAGCAGGTCCTTTCTAGATTATCCCCTAATCAGGCTTCAAGGATTACAAAGAGGCAGCTCGTCTAAAACCACCGGGAAGTTTCACAATGCGACCCAGTAATGTCAGGAACTGTCTTCTCAATTTCTAGTCTAAACTCCTTTGTATTAATTTCATCCCATAATCCTCCAAACTCTCACATCGACCCATGTAATTATGGTTAAATGTCTGCATCCTGGTACTTAAGCCTATTTGACTATCCTGTGGTCACTGTTGAGTTTGGTTGTACAAATGTGGCTTTGGAATTTTTTTTTTTTCTAAAACATCACCTAGGTAAAAAATCTCTGTATTTTACCTAGATTTGGTAGGTAGCATCAAAAGTAACATTTCCAGCTTGGCCTACTGGGATCATTTTCTTCAGAGGAAGTTGAAATAACCCTCATCTCTCCAATCCCCAAGTGACATAAATCCCAAATCTGAACAGCCCAATAACTGAACCATGCAGTCCTGGATCCTGGGTTTAAGGCTTTTTAGTGCAGACAAAAAAATACCTTACCAGATAAGGAATAGCCAGACCCTTAAAATTCTCTATTAAGAAGCCGAGGACTCGATCACGTGGCAGAGACTCCACCTCTGGGAGATCTTCAGTAAATATCTGTCAGAATGAACCTGAGTTCTAGCAGCAGAACCATCTGACTACAGTCCCACCAAACACACGGGCATGTGAGCACAGGGATCAAACAGACTTTAGGAGGGGAAGGGGCATGAGAAGACATTTGCAGGCAGTCAGCATGTCAGATGAGGTGCAGGCCTCCTCATGCCTGTGCAAGGCTCTTTCTACCAACTACAGCACTGCCTCGCGCTTCCTAGTGCACCCTTTCAAACACCAAAGAGGACAGATGCATGAATCCACCCTCCTCTCCATCCACTGCTGTCCCAGGTGCAATCAGGACCAAGTGTGGTACCAGATCAATCCAAGAGACTCCTGTGGCTTACCTTCAGGCCATCTTCTGGGAAGTCTCTCAGCACCCACACTGAGTAGGAGAAAATCAAATGCAGGTTTTCTGTGCCTAGAGGGAAAAGCAGGACTTGTCAGCAGTTGAGGCCCACCCTGCCAGTGGCACTGGGAAGGCAGGTAGGCAGGCTGCCCCAGAATTCATTTTCTTGAAAAGATAGCTCAAGCATGAGCCACTCTGGGCTGCTGGCCCTACTGGTTTGGCTACATACAAGGGGGCTGTCATAGGTCAACCACCAAAGGATTTTTATGCCATCCAGAGGAATGAAATTGAGTGAACACAAGCACGGGAGGGAGGGGAGCAACCAACCAGAATCAGAAATGGAGGGAGACCAGGTCATTTGAATAGGAGCGCTTCCCCATGCCTTTCAAAAGGTGGACTTACCCAGATGCTGCAGATACTGCACTGTCCTCTCGTGGCCTTTCAGAGGGGAGTTGGCTTTCTTGGACTGGTCCACAAGCACCTGCAGAGCTGGCCACCAAATCCAAGAACAAGGTCATGAACCTTTTCCCCACAGGAGATTTGTCATATCCCAGCCGATTTCCCCTGCCATGTATAACAGCCCCTCCCAGATCCAAGGAACCACCTCCACCCCACCTTTCTCATGGAGCCCCTTCTTCTCATACAGAATGATCAGCTCACTGTACTTGTGAGCCTTCTTCAGCACGTGCTCGCTCTCCTCGATGTGGCAGTGATTGTTCTCCAGGCGTAGCAAGGGGGCCACCAGGGCCACATTCGTCTGCAGAAAGAGCAGGACTTCAGTGGAAACTGCTTCCTAGGAGACCCCAACCTTCCCTAGCGTAGGCCTGCTCCACGCTGAAAGGCCAGGATGTAGCACAAGCAAGAGAAAGCAGACAGCCCTCTTTCAGGACAGCAGGTGGTGGCTTTTAGCGCATTTATGACCCTTTGCACAATGTGTTTTAACATTCTGTGGGGGAGAAGAGGGACAGAACTTCTTGAAGGAAATACTGTCCCAGCTAACTTTGTAGCACTAACTGCAATCCGACCAGAGAAGATGAACCCACTGTACAATTTTGCATCAATATCTTGCCTTATCCTCTTAATTCCAAGAGACTCATAGGCATTAGGAGAAGTCTATATGGTTTCCAGAATCGATGACTTCACTCTTACTAGTGGCAGATCCCCCAGGGTCTAGCACTCCCTTTGACTTTCCCAGACTGTCAGGGTAGCTGGGAATTGTGGCACCCGAGTGCTCAGGTAACTCACATGGAGATAGCACTTGAGCAGGGTGGTGTCGATGATTTGTAGCAGCTTCTTCTTGGATTTGATGGTGGGAGTGCCTTCCATGAGTGGGGAGGTGCTTGACTGGTGATCAGAGTCATTCAGCTTCTTTACCAGTTGACTTCGTTTCTACAAAGATCAGGGGTTAATGCCAGGACTAAGTCTTCCTTTGTCACCTGGGCTACTGGGTAATTCTGAATACCTCCAAATCAGCTCATGCCTATTGGCCTGATCTCGATTCAATTTTTAGCACTGCCAAACTGCCACAGAGACAACAATAATTATTTATTAAATATTTACTACAGACTAGGTACCATGCCAAGCACTTCATATATACCACCTTAAACCTAGAACAAGTGCAGATAATATTATCCTTATTTTATAGGTGAGGAACCCAAGGCATAGATGTCAGCTGCTACATAAGGGGCAGGGCAGGATTGAAACTGGGGTCTGACTCCAAATCCCATGTTCTTTCATTTTTTAAGAAGTCAATCTTGGCCAGGCACAGTGGCTCACACCTGTAATCCCAGCATTTTGGGAGGCTGCGGAGGGCAGATCATGAGGTCAGGAGTTCGATACCAGCCCAACCAACATGATGAAACCCTGTCACGACTAAAAATGCAAAAATTAGCTTGGCATGGTGGCATGCACCTGTAATTCCAGCTACTCAGGAGGCTGAGGCAGGAGAATTGCTTGAACCCAGGAGGTGGAGGTTGCAGTGAGCCGAGATAACGCCACTGTAGCCTGGGTGACAGAGTGAGACTTCATTTCAAAAAAAAAAAAATTACCTTATTGAGGTGTAACTTACAATAAAATATAACCTTTTAAATTGTACCATCAGATGCATTTTGACAGAGGTGCACATGCATGTAACCACCACCTCAGTGAAGGAAGGTAACATTTCTATCACTCCAGAAAGTTCCTCATGCTGCTCCCAAACAATCCCATCCACCCATCTGCTTTTAATCCTTGGAAATGAGTTTCTGCCTATCCTAGGACTTCATCCAGTATGTATTCTCTTGAGTGTGGCAAAGCCCATGGTCTTGCTATGCCATCTCTCTGGCGCAAGACTAGTGTCAGTTACTTCATGCATTCCCAGTGTCAGTGAAGAAGGCCAGGAAAGAATGTGTGCTCACCTTCCTACGGCAAAGACATTGGCAGTGGAGGGCCTTCCACAATGCTACAGGATTTGGGAGATACTATTCCCAGGAATCATTTGTACTTGGCACAGCGTTGTGCAAGGTATAGGCAATGGCAAGTTTGTGTGCTCCTTGCAGGCTGCCAGCCCCAGGAGGGTACCCCTGAAGCCCAATGTCAAGGAAGGACCAAGGCCACCCATGCCTGATCGGATCTGCAGGCATTCATTGACCCAGAGGCAGAAAGTAGAAAGCGGCATGAGAAGTTTTCCAGCAATACTTTTTTTTTTTCAGACAGAGTCTCACTCTGTCACCAAGGCTGGAGTGCACTGGCACAATCTCAGCTCACTGCAACCTCCACCTTCTGGGTTCAAGTGATTCTCCTGCCTCGGCCTTCTGAGTAGCCGGGATTACAGGCGCAGGCTACCAGGCCCAGCAAATTTTTGTATTTTTAGTAGAGTCGGAGCTTTGCCATGTTGGCCAGGATGGTCTCGAACTCCTGACCTCAGATGACTTCCTATCTTGGCCTCCCAAAGTGCTGGGATTACAGGCATGAGTCACTGCGCCCAGCCCACAGCAATATTTCTCAGTGCCTATGCTGGAGCATTCTGGAGACCCCTTAGAAAGGTCTGCAGAACACTTGAGAGGAAAAAATATCAGTAAGGCCTCTGATTCTGAATAGGTACACAGGAAATAAACAACAGCCTTCTATGACAGAAATCTGGGGTTAAGAGGCTTTAATGGAGATGTTGGTTTTAGTGCTGACTTAAAAAAATTTAACGTATCTGTCTATAATAGTAAATCATAAAAAAATTTAAATCTAAACACCTCCCTAAAAAACATGTTATAGAAGAGTATGTATTGACAAGGAAGGACTTTCTCAGTATATGGCTAAATTTTTTTAAAGTAAGCTATAAAACAATATCTAATTTGATATCCATTTGCAATAAATAAACCAAGAAGTAAATACACAAAAGCTAATTGATAGATATAAAAGTCTAGAAGGACAACACTAAAATGTTTAGTTTCTTATGTTCTGGTGGTAGAGTTACAGGAAATTTGTATTTCTGCTTTGTCCTTTTTTGTGTGTTTTCCACACTTGATCTTAGCCAAAAGGCCGAGAAGCCATTTTGTGTTTTCCAAGTGGTTCCATATATAGGAGGCATTTTCCCTAAAACCATGTATGTTACAGAAAGTTTGTTTTAAAAAACTTGTACTCCTCTATCAATTAAAATTTACCTTTTTTAGTTCCTATAACAGCTTAGTGTGAATTTACTACGAATTGGGTGTGTTTATTATCAAGATTTGGCAGAAAAACCCCACCTCAACGGTACTGTTAAGTTAGAAGAAGTGGCAGAAAGAAACCTTACCCCAGGCAGACTTCCTAGAGCATTCATTTATGGAATGTCTTGGCATTAGAGAAGGCCCTCAATTCCTTGCCATTGAGAAACAAGTAGTGACACTCCCAGGCAAACTCTTTCACACATTCTGTATTATACCTACCTGTGTCAGGTAGTCAATTAGAGCTAAGTGCGCCTTCTCCAGTTCAGCCCCCGAGAGCACAGGCAATGGGTTGGGATACTGCAGCTGCTTCCTGTAGTCTGTGGGCAGCAGGTCAGGGTACAGGCCCATCACATGGGTGGGATCTATATGGAAGGTAAACATGATTCCCCTGGAAAGGAGCCCAATAATTTACGGATAAAATAAAACGAGACTATTACTATAGCAAAATAAGTTCCAGACTGATTAAAAAAAAAAAAAAAAGACTCAGTTCATAAACATTCAAAGAACTGTAGACTTATGATTTGAGCACTTTTTATACGTTAAAATTCACTAAAACAGCACAAAAATGGCATGACTCTATATCCAAATACACAGACACACAGAATTAGAATTGAATATTTATCAAGTCTCTAAAAGTAGAGAATGAAAACATTTTTGTTGTTGTTTTGAGACAGAGTTTTTGTCTGTTGCCCAAGCTGGTGTGCAGTGGCATGATCTCAGCTCACTGCAACCTCCGCCTCCTGGGTTCAGGCAATTCTCCTGCGTCAGTCTCCCAAGTAGCTGGGATTACAGGTGACCACCATCATGCCTGGCTAACTTTTTGTATTTTTAGTAGAGATGGGGTTTCACTATGTTAGCGAGGATGGTCTCAATCTCCTGACCTCGTGATCTGACTGCCTCTGCCACCCAAAGTGCTAGGATTACAAGTGTGAGCCACCATGCCCAGCCGAGAATAAAACATTTCTAAGGAAAAATGCTGACATTGAAGTAAAAGATATCAAGAAACTTAATACAAAATTTATATTTAAAAAATCACTAAAAAAAAAAAAGAAAGGCAAGGGACACAGAACAGTCAAAACGTTCTTGACAAAGAACAAAGCCTGAGAGCTAATACTCCCCAGTCAAAATAACTAAAAAAAAAAAAAAACCCAGACAACAGGCTAGAGAATATATTTGTAGTATATATGGCAAGAGGCTAATTTGCTGATTTCAAGACTGGACGGCATAGTGAGACCCATGTCTACAAAAAATATTTTAAATTAGCTGAGCGTGGTGGCACGTGCCTGTATCCAGCCACTTGGGAGGCTGAGGGGGGAAGATTGCTTGAGCCCAGGAGGTCAAGGAGGCAGTGAGCTATGATCGTCCCACTGTACTCCAGCTGGGGAAGAGTGAGATCCTGTCTCAAAGTAATTTTTAAAAACAGGGTAATATGTTGATTAGATAAAACAAATGCACACAAATTGATAATAACATGTAAGACTTCATTTGATAAATGACCAAAAGACAAGACCAACTGAAAAGAGAATACAAAAAAGTGGGAAAATGTTCTGCTACATTAAGAATCAAAATGGTACACATTAAACATGTCAGAGGTGACATTTTCCTTCTATCTTAGAATTTATTGTATTCTCACTGATGCGCACAGATTTTTTTTTTTTTTTTTTTTTTTTAAGACAGGGTTTTGCTCTGTCTCCCAGACTGGATATGGAGTGCGGTGGCATGATTTTGGCTTCTTGTAGTCTTGATCTCCTGGCTCAAGCAATCCTCCTGCCTCAGCCTCCCAAGTAGCTGGGACTACAGGCATGCACCACCCTGCCAGCTAATTATTTTTAAATTTTTTGTAAAGACGAGGTTTCGCTATGTTGCCCTAGGCTTGTCTCAAACTCCTGGACTCAAGCAATCCTTTCTCTTTGGTCTCCCCGAAATACTGGGATTATAGGCATGAGCCACCATACTTGCCCACTCCCAGATTGTAACAGCAAAAAGCTCTAAGTAGCCAACATATTCTCATTGCCACTGGGGATTGGTTAACTGATTATATAATTTATAGTACATCAATACTGCAGAACACTATTGTTTATGGTCAATTGTCGCTTAGCATCCATTTCTACTCCTTTCTATTTTCTTTTCTGCCCACAGGGGCTATAAAACTGAAAACTACTTTTCTCAAACTCCCTAGCAGTCAGGTTTCTAAGTGAAAATCTGGTTCCACCCAGAAAGAGGATATGAGATTTGGAAACTGATAGTGAGATGGAAGCCTCCCTCTTTCAACTCATGAGTGTGTGTAGCCAGACTCAGCATCTCCAGTGTCTGGTTATCAGCTCTGCCGTTCTGTAGAGGCACCTGCCCAGATACAGCAGCCTACACCCAGTCACCAGCTCTGTGGGAACTGAGGTTGCTGCAGGGCATAGGCAGCAGAAGCAGCAGCAACTTGCTGACCTCTGGATCGCAGGGATATGCCAAGAAAATCAATGTCCAGTAGTGGACCCCTGTCTTCTGCTCCTTCAACTCATTCAACAATCTGTGTGTCTATGTATGGTAAAATATACATGTCACAATATTTATCCTTTTAACCATTTGTAAGCATATGATTCAGTGGCATTAAATACATTCACACTATTGTGCAACCATCACTACCATCCATCTCCAGAACTTTTCTATCATCTCAAACTGAAACTCCGTATCCAATATTAAACAATTACTTATTCTCCCTCCATTCCAGCCCCTGGAACCTCTACTTTACTTGTGGTCTCCATGAATCTGCCTACTCTAGGTGCTTCATATAAGGAAGGGCAAGTTCTCTCTTCCAGACTATGTAGAGTCTTGGCGGGAGGATAGCTCTAGGGACCTACCTTTGCATTCAGAAGCAGAGGAGAACCAAACCTCTTTCTCCACCCCTGGTAGAGTCTGGGGGTCAGACTATGACCTAATCCTGGCTAATCAGATTCCCCTGATCTGGAGGAAATCATGCAAAGATGACAAGCAGTGTGGTACACACCAACATATAGCATATATCCCATCCTATGTGCTTCTCTTAGGTAACATGACACACCTCCATCAAGAGGCGAAGTCTGAAGAGAAGATCCAAGATAGCCGATCAGACACAACTCCAGCATACAACACCCAGCGAGAGAGACATAGAACTCCAGAGATCTCCTAGCTCCCACCGAGGTACCAGGCACATTTCAACGGGTCTGGCCCATGGTGAGCAAAGTCCACTCAGGGCAGACCGAGGCGGGGAGAGGTGCTGCTTCACCCAGAAAGTGCATCTGACCGGCGAGTTGGAGGCCCCCCCATGACACTCTGGTCCAGATACAGTGCTTCCCCCAAAGTCTCAGCAATACACAGAACAGGGAATCTTTGCCAGTCAAGCACCAGGAATTATAAGCGTGGAGTTGAATAAGAGCCAGCAGACTGAGCTATCGCCCCCTCCCCTCACCCAGAGGGAGAGGGAGCTATAAGCCAGATAGATCCACAAAGATGGGAAAAAACCAGAGCAAAAAAGATGAAACCATCAAAGACCAGAACACCTCTTCTCCTTCAAGGGATCACAACTCCTGAACAATACAAGATTACAACTTGACCAAGGAGTGTAACGAATTGACAGAAACAGGCTTCAGAAGGTGGATAGTAAACTTTTCAGAGCTAAAGGAACACATTCTAACTCAAAGCAGAGAAACCAAAACCTTGAAAAAAGTTTAGACGAAATGGTAACTAGAATAACCAGCTTAGAGAAGAACATAAACGACTTGATGGAGTTGAAAAACATAGCATGAGAACTACGTGAAGCAAACACAAGTTTTAATAGCCGAATCAATCAAGCAGAAGAAAGGATATCAGAGATTGAAGATCAACTCAATGAAATAAAAAGAGAAGGTAAGATAAGGGAAAAAAATGAAAAAACATGAACAGAGCTTCCAAGAAATATGGAATTATGTGAAAAGACACAATCTACGCTTGATCAGTGTACCTGAATATTATGGAAAGAATGAATCCAAGCTGGAAAACACGCTCCACGATATTATCCAGGAGAACTTCCCAAGCCTAACAAGGCAGTCCAAATTTCAAATTCAAGAAATACAGAGAACTCCACAAAAATATTCCTCAAGCAGAGCAACCCAAGGCACATAATGGACAGATTCACCAGGGTTGAAATGAAGGAAAAAATGCTAAGGGCAGCCAGAGAGAAAGGTCAGGTCACCCACAGAGGGAAGACAATGAGACTTACAGCAGATCTCTCAGCAGAAACCCTACAAGCCAGAAGAGAGTGGGGGCCAATATTCAACATCCTTAAAGAAAAGAACTTGCAACCCAGAATCTCATATCCAGCCAAACTAAGCTTTGTAAGTGAAGGAGAAACAAAATCCTTTACAGACAAGCAATTATTGAGAGATTCTGTCACCACCAGACCTGCCCTACAAGAGCTCCTGAAAGAAACACTAAGCACGGAAATGAACAACTACCAGTCACTGCAAAAGCAAACCAGGTGGCAAAGACTAAAAATGCAATGAAGAAAATGAGTCAACTAATGGGAAAGAAAACCAACCAGTAACAAAATGGCAGGATCAAATTCACATATAACAATATTAACACTGAATGTAAATGGCCAAAACGCCCCAATCAAAAGACACAGACTGGCAAACTGAATAAAAAGTCAGAACTCATCAGTGTGCTGTATTCAGGAAACCCATCTCACATACAAAGACACACACAGACTCAAAATAAAGGGATGGAAGAAGATTTACCAAGCAAATGGAGAGCAAAAAAAAAAAAAGAGGTTCCTAGTTAGTCTCTGATAAAATGGACTTCAAACCAATAAAAATGAAAAGAGACAAAGGACACTACATAATGGTAAAAGGGTCAATCCACCAGGAAGAGCTAACTATCCTAAATATACACGCCCCCAACACAGGAGCACCCAGATACATAAAACAAGTTCTTAAGGACCTAAAATGAGATTTAGACTCCCACACAATAACAGTGGGAGACTTCAACACTCCACTGTCAATATTAGACAGATCAAGATCAACGAGACAGAAAATTAACAAGGATATCCAGGACTTGAATGTAGAGCTGGACCAAGTGGACCTAATAGACATATACAGAACGCTCCACCCCAAATCCACAGAATTCACATTTTTCTCAGCACCACATTGCACTTACTCTAAAATTGACCACATCATTGGAAGCAAATCACTCCTCAGCAAATGCAAAAGAACACAAATCATAACAGTCTATCAGACCACAGCGCACTCAGACTAGAACTCAGTATCAAGAAACACACTCAAACCTGCACAACCACTTGGAAACGGAACAACTTGCTTCTGAGCGTCAACCAGATAAACAATGAAATGAAGGCAGAAATAAAGATGTTCTTCAAAACCAACCAGAACGAAGACACAATTTACCAGAATCTCTGGGACACCTTTAAAACAGTGTCGATAGGGAAATTTATAGCAATAAATGCCCACCAGAGAAGAGAGGAAAGATCTAAGATCGACACCCTATCTTCAAAATTGAAAGAGCTAGAGGAGAAAGATTAAAAAAAAAACTGAAAAGCTAGCAGAAGACAAGAAATAACTAAGATCAGAGCAGAACTGAAAGAGACAGAGACACAAAAAGCCCTTCAAAAAATCAGTAAGTCCAGGAGCTGGTTTTTTGAAAAGATCAATAAAATAGACAGACTGCTAGCCAGATTAATAAAAATGAAAAGGGAGAAGAATCAAATAGATACAATAAAAAATGATAAAGGGGATATCACCACTGATCCCACAGAAATACAAACTACCCTCAGAGATTACTACAAACAGCTCTACTCACATAAACCAGTAAACCAAGAAGAAATGGATAAATTCCTAGACACTTGTACTCTACCAAGACTAAACCAAGAGGAAGTTGAAACCCTGAATAGACCAATAATAAGGGCTGAAGTAGAGGCAGCAATCAATAGCCTACCAACCAAAAAAAGTCCAGATTCAGACGGGTTCACAGCCGAATTCTACCAGACGTACAAAGAGGAGCTGGTTCCATTCCTTCTGAAACCGTATCAAACAATACAAAAGGAGGGAATCCTCCCTAACTCATTTTATGGAACCAACATCATTCTGATACCAAAACCAGGCACAGACTCAACTAAAAAAGAAAACTTCAGGCCACTATCCATGATGAACATCGATGCAAAAATCTTCAATAAAATACTGGCAAACAGATTGCAACAGCACATCAAGAATCTTATCCATCAGGACCAAGTACGCTTCATCCTGGGGATGCAAGGCTGGTTCAACATATGCAAATCCATAAATGTACTCCATCACATAAATGGAACTAAAGACAAAAACCACATGATTATCTCAATAGATGCAGAGAAGGCCTTTGACAAAATTCAACTGCCTTTTATGCTAAAAACTCTCAATAAACTAGGTATTGACAGAATGTATCATAAAATGATAAAAGCTATATATGACAAATCTACAGCCAATATCATACTGAACGGGCAAAAACTGGAAGCATTCCCTTTGAAATCAGGCACTAGAAAAGGATGCCCTCTCTCACCACTCCTATTCAACATAGTATTGGAAGTTCTAGCCACAGCAATCAGGCAAGAAAAAGAAATAAAGGTATTCAATTAGGAAAGGAAGAAGTCAAACTGTCTATTTGCAGATGACATGACTGTATATCTAGAAGACTCCATTGTCTCAGCCCAAAATCTTCTCAAATTGATAAGCAACTTCAGCAAAGTCTCAGGATACAAAATCAATGTGCAGAAATCACAAGCATTCCTATATACCAATAACAGACAAACAGAGAGCCAAATCAAGAGGGAACTGCCATTCATAATTGCTACAAAGAGAATAAAACACCTAGGAATACAACTAACAAAGGATGTAAAGGACCTCTTCAAGAAGAACTACAAACCACTGCTCAATGAAACAAGAGAGGACACAAACAGATGGAGAAACATTCCATGCTCATGGTTAGGAAGAATCAATATCGTGAAAATGGCCATAGTGCCCAAAGTAATCTATAGATTCAACGCTATCCCCATCAAGCTACCAATGACCTTCTTCACAGAACTGGAAAAAACCATTTTAAACTTCATATGGAATCACAAAAGACCCCACATAGCCACGACAATCCTAAGCAAAAAGAACAAAGCAGGAGGCATCACACTGCCGGACTTCAAAGTATACTGTGAGGCTACAGTAATCAAAACACCATGATACTGGTACCAAAACAGAGACATAGACCAATGGAACAGAACAGAGACCCCAGAAGAAACACCACACATCTACAACCATCTGATCTTTGACAAACCCAGCAAAAACAAGCAATGGGGAAATGACTCCATGTTTAATAAATGGTGTTGGGAAAACTGGCTAGCCATGTGCAGAAAGCAGAAACTGGACACCTGCCTGTCACCTTACACTAAAATTAACTCCAGATGGATCACAGATTTAAACATAAAACCTAACACCATAAAAACACTAGAAGAAAATGTACGGAAAACTATCCAGGACATAGGCATAGGCAAGGACTTCATGACTAAAACACCAAAAGTAATGGCAATAAAAGCCAAGATAGACAAATGGAATCTAATTAAACTCCAGAGCTTCTGTACAGCAAAAGAAACCATGATTAGACCGAATCGGCAACCAACAGAATGGGAAAAAATTTTTGCAATCTACCCATCAGACAAAGGGCTAATATCCAGAATATACAAAGAACTAAAACAGAACAAGAAAAAAACAACCCCATTCAAAAGTAGGCAAAGGATATGAACAGATACTTTTCAAAAGAAGACATATATGAGGCCGACAAACGTGAAAAAATGCTCATCATCACTGGTCATTAGAGAAATGCAAATCAAAACCACACTGAGATATCATCTGATGCCAGTTAGAATGGCAATCATTAAAAAATCTGGAGACAACAGATGCTGGAGAGGATGTGGAGAAATAGGAACACTCTTACACAGTTGTTGGGAGTATAAATTAGTTCAACCAACGTGGAAGACAGTGTGGCGATTTCTCAAGGATCTAGAAATAGAAATTCCATTTGACCCAGCAATCCCATTACTGGGTATATACCCAAAGAACTATAAATCATTCTACTATAAAGACACATGCACATGCATGTTCATTGCAGCCCTGTGTACAATAGCAAAGACCTGGAACCAACCCAAATGCCCATTAACAATAGACTGGATGAAGAAAATGTGGTACATATACATCATGGAATACTACGCAGCCATAAAAAATGATGAGTTCATGTCCTTTGCAGGGACTTGGATGAATCTGGAAGCCATCATTCTCAGCAAACTGACATAAGAACAGAGGACCAAACACCGTATGTTCTCACTCATCGGTGGGTGTTGAACAACGAGAACATGTGGACTCAAGGAGAGGTGCATCACATACTGGGGACAGTTGGGGGAGGTAGAGGAGAGAGAGTGGGGGTGGGGAGGGAGGGAAGGGTGGGAGGGATAACATGGGGAGAAATGCCAGATATAGTATCCAC